ACACTGAAGGCTTAAGTTTCCAAGTTGATTCTTTGGTAACATTTATAAAAGTTAACGGGGCATATTTAATTTAGGAATTGGCTCACGTCCTTCTCCTTACAGCTGAAACCTCATAAATGAAATATACTGGATCACTGCCCAGCGCGGAAATAAAAGTTATGAATAATGTTTCTATCTCAATCATTGTCACTGCTTTAATATTCCTAATTACTTTAAAAAGCTAGATATTCAATATAGGAAAACTTTTTTTTTCTTTTTATCTCCACTTGTGAGATTAGTGCAATTTAATAAGAGTCACTCTGTCGTCTTTATTCAGGGGAGACTGACATTTCATCCTTTTACTCTTCATTATTATATAGGATGGAGGTTTATGACCAAGCATGCAGCCACTCCATTTCCCCATATTGGTTCATCGAACATCTCAGAATTACCCCCAGGAGCTGATGTGTGTCCACCTACCAGGCACCACAGCATCACCTCACCTCCTTTATGGAGCAGAAAGAAATTAGGTTAGGCCTTAAAGAAATTGATCCATAGAATTATACGTCTTTAAGAGACTGAGAAGCCCCCACCCCCCACGCCAGTACTGGATTCGTCCCCTTCCATCAGAGTCATAAATCCCTTGGCAGCCACAAAGGGCAGGGCAGGGGCAAGCAGCAGATGACGGATCTTTATAACCCTCCCTGCCACTTCCAGGAATTTAACCTAAGAAGAAATTGGAAGAAGTGGGCACAGATTTATGCACAAGAAGAATTACTGCAGTATTTTTACACAGGGCCACGGTCCCTGATCCACATGTCCAAAAATCTCTAGAAAGTCCATAAGAAAAATTTTTTAAGGTCGGCACCAAATTTCATTTAGAAACAAAATCTCCATGGAACTGATTTGTGGTTGTCACCACTAGATGTGATCAGTTCCATGTCACTTCAGAAGAATTATTATATTTCATCCCAGGGTACTGCCCCACTGAGGGTGTGTGTCATATATGATATAGTCAGCATATGCTTTCCTAAACTCTGAAAAAATATAAATTGTGAGACCAACAGGTCCTAAGGATCTGGGATAAAGGATGGTGGGCCTCAAATGGTGAAAAATCATGAAGAACCTAAATGCCCATCAATAAGAGACTGGTTAAATTCTTTTGGTAATGCAGAGAATGTTATTCTATAAGGCCGTTAAAAACTGGAAGGGAGAATTCATGTTTGTTGACAAGGAAATGAATACATGACATAAAGTTAAGCTTTAGAAAAGCAAGTCACAGAATAGCACATATATTTGATCTAAATAATTCACGTTGTATCCAGATCTAGCTCTGAGTGCAAATGTGTTCAGAAATAATAGGGAGGCAAGCACCCAACTGCCAGAAGAGCTTATGCCTGGTGTGTGGGTTTAACCTGTTTGTCTACACTTTTGGTGCCGTTTGAATTTTCTTTTTAACATGAACAGGTATAATTTTAGAATCAGAAAACAACAAGAATGCCCAGCTGGCATTCTCAGTGGTTGAGTGTCGGCCTATGAACCAGGAGGTCACGGTTTGATTCCTGGTCAGGGCACATGACTGGGTTGAGGGTTTTATCCCCAGTGTGGGGTGTGCAGGAGGCAGCCAATTGATGATTCTCTCTCATCATTGATGTTTCTATCTCTCTTTCCCTCTCCCTTCCTCTCTGACATCAATAAAAAAATATATTTTTAGAATTAGAAAACAACAAGAATGATGCTTTCCATTGAACAAAAACGAAAGCTTCCCTGCAAGGGTGTCACCTGCATAGACATGTCTATGGACAGATCCCATTCAGAAGTCTCCGGAGATACACACTGCACTGATTGGAACACCACCCCCACGGACACAGGCCTCACAAAGACCCGGCCACACTGTGGAGCGCACGCAGGCCGACAGGCGTCACCGGCACGACAGCTAACCACCTCTGATTGCTGGAAGTACACTCAGCCTCAATGTGTCCACGGCTGATTCCTCCATCACCACAACAACATCTCAGGGCCGCCACTTTCAAGCAGATCCTTCCTTCCCCTGTGAGCATTTATGTCTTCTAATCCATTTCAACCTAGGATTGCACTAATAGAGGCTGAGCATCTAGAAGGAAGGAGAGCATACTAATTAAGTGCTTAGGTTTAGGACCTATGTTTTTGCTTGACTGATAGTCCCAGTGTTACTATTTACTGGAGGTGTGTCTGCTGATGGTTGCTTAACCTTGCTATGCTTCAACTTTCTTATCTGTAAAAGAGGGCTAATATTATAATAAACCCTACACCATAGATTTGTTGTGGAGACTAAATGAGAAGATAAAGTGCCTAGTGCAGAGTAAAAGTCAATAAATAGTACCCATCTCTATTATTATTTTTCCATATCAACCTGCACTGATATGGCCAGACTAGGAATAATAGTTTAAAACAGTGGTCACCAATCTTTTGGGACTCACGGACCACCGGTTGGTGATCACTGGTTTAAAAGGAATAAAGGCCAAAGCCAGTGGCGAGAAACCAGATGGATAAGACAGTTGGGAGCATGTCCTGTGAGAAAACAAGGAGCTTGGAGAATACTTGGAGAAAACTTGGAGGAGGGAAGTGATCACTATCATACAATATTTGAAAGGCTGATCCATGGATGGGGACTCTGGCTTCTCCTCTGTGACCTCAGTGGCTATTACCAAGTGCTCTGAGATGGCCACCTTCCCACGCACAGTGGCCTTGTCCACTGAGCTCCTTGGAAGAAATTCCAACATGACAGGGAGGGTCATGGCTGCCCTGGCCCCTATCATGAGTGAGAACCAACTGGTAGAAGCTAAAGACAGATTTCCACTCAAGAGAAAGGAAAACCTCCCAATAATCAGAATGTGCTTCCACGGGAGGCAGTGAGCTCCGTGTTAACGGTGGGGATTCAAGCAGAAGGTGGAAAGCTCATGGCAGGGCGTCTAAACAGTCACTGCTCTGAAGGATTTTGAGAGTGAGACTCTATGAATTCCCTTCATTCCATGCGGCTGCCCCACAAAACAGGGTAGGAATGCGTCCTTTAGGACTTCCTCTGGACTTACTAGTACATGCCTTTGAGTAGACCCAGGGGTGGTGGCTCTTCGACCCAGGAGGGTGGATTTATTGAGAAAACAGCTGTGGCTGCTCAGCACCAAGTCTGACGACTGATTTGAGGTGGGGAAACTGGGGAGCCCTGATTTGTATAATAATATAAAGTAGCAAAGCTGTTTCCCTACATGTGTAATAAACTCACTGTAGAGGCAAAATTTACTCTAAACAGCCTGGTTCTGTTTGTTCATCGAGGGCTGCCTTCATTCTAGTTCCTTCCCCAGACCGGAAACCCTGAGAGCACAGACCAGGCCTGAAAAACCCGCCATGGCGTGCTCCCTGCCCAGCACAGACCAGCACCTCGTAAGCACCAAACACACTGGTATTGAACGGTGATTTATATGCACTCGGGGCCCCTGGGACTCAGGATGTATTTCAGCCTCCAACAGGCTGCCCTTGACATTATAATCCAGCAGCAGCAAGCAGATCTGTCCCAGCAGAACTCACCTAATCCAACTTAGATGGTTCTTCATCAAAGATTCATTGTAAGAAAAATTACACAAAACAGAGCACGGACAAGGCAGGGAAAGCTCTCAGGTAATTCAACCAGCCTGTTTCCTGTCGTTCACAGAAAGACTGGCTGAGCACACACGCGGTTACCTCAGCGTCCCTCAGGTTTACCCTTCATTGTCTGGAGGAGTCCCTGGCCCTGTCTCCGTGCGGCACATCTCAATGCGGTAAAACTGATGGGATGGGAGGAGGAGCCCCCCTCTGCCCCCACAGCCACCAACACTTGGGAGAGTCTTTTGACCTTGGACTCCCTGATCGAGATAACCACCCAGGTTACAAAAGCACACCCAGTCTTGCTTTGGTCGGTATGCTCTCATATACCAGGCCGACAGGGAGGCTCCGGGAAAGGCCTTTGGAAAAAAAAGGACCATCACTAGGTGTTTCCACCCCACCAGAGAGAGTGAAAAGGGGTAAAAGCACCACACTGGGCCACCCAGCATTCCCTCTCCGTGTTTTCACCATCACTGTAGTCCCAGTGGCTTCCAAAGATGGGTCAATAACGGGGCTAGAACCCTAATGGATTAGCTTAGCTATGTGTTCTACTCAAGGCACAATAAAAAGACAGTCACTCTGCCCCATCTCAACACTATCAAGCCCTCTTTGAAAACCAAATAAGACCATGTCTTAACCAAGCATTGATGGCAAAATGCACCACTGGAAAGGGGGTCAGTTGTAAGATTTAGGGGAAAGCAGCAGAGGGGAAGGATTTGCCTTCATCTGGGCTCTTGGCAGAGGACTTTCCTGAGGAGCTGTTAGGAAGACCCACCCTCTCATTGGCCAGCCCCACAGTGGAGACAATGTCCTGAGCTGCTGTGTGTCACATGATCAGTCCCAAGAGCATCCGCCTCACTCCCTGTTCACCAGGAAGCCTTCCCAGAGAGATGGGAAACACAGCGACTTGCCCCTATGCCTGTCCCATTCTCCTCCTTTTGGGCAGAGGCATCCCAGTGCCCACCAGTCTCAGGAATCAGTCCCCTGAGCCTCCATGAGCGCCCACACAACTAAGCCTTTGGACTAGCAAAGCTGAGGACCATGCCTTGACCACAGTGACTGCACCCTTGGGTGGCAACTCATTTTCACCTCAACCCTCCAAGACCATAGCCCGAGGTGTTTTATCAAAAGTCAGAGTTGTACAGATGACACCACAATGCCCACACATACACACACACAACACACAATGCCCCTCCAGACCTCCACAAACCATTACCCCCACGCCTCTCCCACCCTCTCCTCCAAGCACCATCATGCACTAAACTGTAGGCAGGCCTTTTCCTCGATGCCCGCGCTAGCCTGGGCAGCTGCAGCCCAACACGAATAATCCAGCATGTGCTCAGCCCAGGCCCTCCTGAGCCGGAGCCAGGGGGCCATCCAACCCTCAGAGACCCCAGACTCACCGCTGGAGCAGTCGGGTCCTCCCCAGCCAGGCTCACAGTGGCAGGTGTCGGGGGACACACAGCGGCCATGCACGCACTCCTCCGTACACAGGGCTGCAGGGGGCGGGGAGAGACGGGGGAAGAACAGGAACAGACAGTGAAAACCAACCAGCTGGTCAAGAAGCATCAACCACTTTACAACGACTCCCCCCAGGCCCATGGATGTGCCAAACGCATCACTGGCTTTGGAGAAACATCAAGCCACCCCAGACCTCGGCTATTTAATTAACTCCGAAATGCATCCCACAAGAGTGTGCTTCATCCCAGCCTTGTTTCCTACGGTGAAACCCAAGCCTGAAGAATGGCAGCCTTGGTGGCTTTTCAAGAATATTTTCTCCAGGGCTTAACCCTCGGGGACTCTCCGCAAAGCCTAGCCCCCGAATCCACGCCCTTGCTCTTTCCCCATCTGCTCAGGAAATGGCCTGTCATGCCCATCATTTGCTTTCCCCGATTGCTTTCTGCCGAGGCCCCGAAATCCATCGGGCTGCCCGAGAGGAAGAGGCTCCTCTCCTGCTTCCCCCCACCTCGCTGCCCTCCTCCCCAAATGCCCCTATGTTGAGGCTCTCAAATGTCAGCAAATCTGCAAAGTACACAAATGCTGAGAAAAGGCAACTGCTAATTATAAGAAAAGTAATTAAGAGAGACATCCACGATAATGATAATTGTAATTAGGAGGTGCCTGGCAGTTCCTTATCACGCAGTCAAAGGCTGTAGCCCCCCTCCCGCGCTGGGAGGCAGCCTCGGCGAAGTTTCCATCCACGGCTCCGGCACGGAGACGGCTTATTGGCAGCAGCTGGAGGAAGGGAGAGATCACGGCTCTCGACATCCACGTTTCCTCAAGGTCATCTTTGCTCCTGAGAGATCTGCCCCCACCTCTAACCCATCAGCGAAGGATTACAGAGAACCCCAGGGCCACCCCCGCCAATTCTGTGAGCCTGGGAAGTCAGCAGCTACCACCCACCCTGCCCGTTTCTTAGGAGGAGCCAAGCACATTCCTCGGACAAGCAGCTAGAGCCCTCTCTCTGCCTAGCACCGGCCTGGGGAGCAGGGGGGCCCCCGATCGTAAAGGTTGTCCCTGAGCTGCAGACACCCCCCTGCTTCCACATCCACTGCCTGGCTTGAGTTCCCACCAAGAAGTTAGACCACAGCCCATTTTCTGTTGCTGTGGGGTCCTCTGGCCCCTCCTAGGCACACATGCTGACCCTGAGGTTGTTGCCTTAGCTTTGGCCAGGCCCCCAGGCAAGGCAGACCCAGAAGAGCCACTTCAGATGCCGCCTGGTGAGTGGTCTGCAGTCAGCTTGCCCTCTGCGGGCCTGGGATGTGGTGTGTCTGGGGAGAACCCTGGCAGCCGAGTCCTCGTGGGTACAAGTGGCTTGGGGCCGAGTTCTGGTTTGTGTTAAGACTTTCACTTGGAGCTCAGGAGCTATCCTACTTCTTGCTGGGGAAACCGGCTGGACCCTGACCCCAGCGACCAGCTCCTCTCAGAACCACGTGAGCTGCTGACCCAGCTGCTGACAAGACCCCAGCTGGTCATCCCTGCTGCCCTGGCTCCCCGGGCTCCCTCCAGACTTTCCAAACAAGCTCGAATCGGTCAATGTTCCCAAGTATACATGCTGGACACCATGTGCCCATCCCTATCCCCTGGCTAGGCCCAGCCAGCTCCCAGCTCTGGCCTCAGCTGCCCCCTCTTCTATCTCCTTCTCCCCCCCCCCCCCCCCCCCCCGGCTGAGGTCCCAGCGTGCTCCACAGCTGGGCCTCTCTGCCTTCCAGCAGACCCTTCCCATCAGCCTGTCAGTTCAGCTCATGACACCTCCACCTGCTTTCTGACCAGAAAGCAGGGGTTCTGTCAGGTTAGAGAGGGCAGTGAACCTACCAAGTGTCCGAGAAAATCATGTCCAACCTGTCACTTTAAAGGTGGAGAAACTGAGGCCTCAGTGCCCTGGGCCTCACGGACATACTAGTTAGTATGTGGCCTCTTGGCCAGGCAGGAAGGAGCTCGGGGAAGAGGCTCCTGGAGACAGAGGCCTGTGAAGGCAGAGGGAGGCGAGAGGTGCCCAAGACCATGGGGCCTTCACATGTCACCCAGATGGATGCTCCCCCCCCTGCCCAGATGCCTAAGGGGCTGGGAGAGCCAGGCCAGAGGGGACAACATAGGGGTGCTGTGGTTAACCCCAGGAGGGTTAGAGCTGGAGAGAGAGGACAGAGGAGCACCTACAGGGTGGGGCTGAGCAGGGGGCTCGGAGCTGCTCAATGGAGGGATGGGGCGGGGAGAGGGAGACCACCAACATCCTACCAACCTACCAACCCTCGCCTTTCTCTGACCCTAAACACCTGCACTCTGACCCATCCCCTCACCCCTCCCTCGCTGGAAGTGAAGGCCTTCAGGAGCTCTGAGCAGGCTCCACTCCACACTGCTTTCCCCGTGGGCCCGCCCCAGCCCAGCCCTGTAAGCAGCACACTGTAGACAACGGCCCTACAAACCCTTGGCCTGACTCCATGTGGTCCCTCCGGGCCTCATTACCCCTCCCCGCTCCCCCCTCCTGGTATTATGCCTGGGCTATTTGTTTGTCAAAAGCTCAATGCATTCATATTTCATAGGTGCTGTTTGGACAGTGTTGTTTGAGGCATGAAATATTGATAGCAAATACCCAGGCTCAAATGGCCGCATTTGGCACTTGGGCCACTGTGTGTCTGAGTCTGTCGGTGTACATGGTGGGGACAGACTGGGCCAGGGGTGATGCAGGGAGAGTCCCCTGAGGAGGGATGGCTGGAGGTGAGACCCAGGACCCTGGTGCTGGGTGGCTGACTCCCACACCAGAGCTCGGGGGTTACCGAGGGCAGGGACTTATACAGCAGCTGCGCCTAGAGCATTCTCTCTGACACCAGCCCCCATCCCCGCCGCTGACCCCCTAAGTGAAGCTGAGTCTGCCACCCTGACCTCCCTCTTCTCTCCTCCTGTAACTCCAGATGGGTTCCTTTGGTTGAGTCCCTCTTCCCCTTACCCACAGCCATCTGCTGCTAGTGACAGGCTGTGTGACTGAGGCCAGGCCCTCTCCTGGCCCCGCTAAGAAGCTTGAACTACTGCTCTCTTAGCTTCCCCCATCCTACTGTCCTGCCTTGGTCCTACTTCCAACACCCCAGGTACCACAGGCAATTTTAGCGACAAACAGCTTGGTATCGTGGTTAAGACCACAGACTGCACTCAGAAAGCCAGTCTGGACCCAGCGATGTTACTTAGTAGCTCTGGACTATGGACCAGTTACTATCCTCTCTGCGTCAGTCCCCAGCTGTTCCATGGGGACAGTGACAGGACCGGCCTCAGGCTGTGTGTGAGGGTGAAATGAGTTGACAAAGGACCCAGAGCAGTGCCTGGCGTATACACAGTAAGTGCTGTATGAGTCTTGCTGTTATTATCTGTAGGGTGTCCTCCGACCTGGGGAAGGGTACTTGCAATGGCTGAGCCTCTTTTATCCTCCACACGAAGGTCATCTCCCTCTCTCTCGCCTTTCACTAAGGTCCTGGACACATGGGGTAGGCTGTAGGGACCTATTGACAGACCACTGGTTGGGGATGGTGTGAAGGGCAGTTCCAATTCTACCCCTGGATGAGCTAAGTTATAGTTACAATTATAGGACAATAAGCAAGTATTTAGTATTCCATGCCTCAGTTTTTTTCATCTCTAAAATGGGGACAACACTATAGTCATACATCACACAACAACGTTTCAGTCAATGACAGGCTGCATATATGACAGCGGTCCCATAAGATTACATAGTGAGGGTTTAGCAGAAGCTTTTTCCAACTCTAACAAGCCTCGTTAAAAGCTTGAAAACAGCCCTGGCCAGTGTGGCTCAGTTGGTTTAGCATCATTCCCATGCAACTAAAAGATGGCCGATTCAATGCCAGGTCAGGGCACATTTGCCAGGTTTGTGGGTTTGATCCCCCATTGAGAAGCAACCCATCAATGTTTCTCTCCTTCTCCCTTCCTCTCTCTTTAAAATCAATAAAAACATAATTTTAAAAATAAATAAAAGCTTGAAAACATGGTCCCCAGCATCAAAAGGTTTTCATTAAAGAGAGAAATGTTGCCGGGAACGGTTTGGCTCAGTGGATAGAGCGTCGGCCTGCAGACTGAAAGGTCCCGGGTTCGATTCCGGTCAAGGGCATGTACATTGGTTGCGGGCACATCCCCAGTGGTGGGTGTGCAAGAGGCAGCTAGTCGATGTTTCTCTCTCATCGACGTTTCTAACTCTCTGTCCCTCTCAATTCCTCTCTGTGTAAAATCGATAAAATATATTTAAAAAAGAGAGAGAGAGAAATGTTCATTTCTCTGCTTACAAGCAAGTTTATGATGAAAGAAGGAAGGGAAGGAGGGAGGGAGGGAGGGAGGGAGGGAGGGAGAGAACTGAGTTAAATGGCATGGATATGTTTCTGAAAAGAGTGACACCTCCCCAAGAAGAGCCTGAGGCAGGCCCTCCAGGAGGTGATCCAGAAGAAGGCTCAGCTCCATGCACATTCCTGCCCCTAAAAACCTTCCTGTGGGGCAAGATGTGCAGGTGGGAGACAGTGATACTGATGATCCTGATCCCGTGTAGCCCCGTGGTCGGCAAACTGCGGCTCGCAAGCCACATGCGGCTCTTTGGCCCCTTGAGTGTGGCTCTTCCACAAAATACCTCGGCCTGGGCGAGTCTATTCTGAAGAAGTGACATTAGAAGAAGAAGATTAAAAAATTTGGCTCTCAAAAGAATTTTCAATTGTTGTACTGTTGATATTTGGCTCTGTTGACTAATGAGTTTGCTGACCACTGGCAGGCCAAGGCTAATGTGTGCGTTTGCGTCTTAGCCTTTAACAAAAAAAGTCTGAAAAGTGGAAAAACATTTTTTAAGGAGAAAAAAATATTATAAAGGTACGAAGAAATAAAATATTTTATGCAGCTGTGCAATGTGTTTGAGCTTTAAGCTGTTATTACAAAACAGTTGAAAAGTTAAATTTTTTAAAAATTTATAAAGTAAAAAAGTCACAGTCAAAAAAATGGGCAAAGGACCTAAAAATAC